TGATTCACACGTCCAAGTCTCGATTTTTATGACACTATATCACTAAAGACATTCAAAGGAGCTGATCATAGTCTCTGGAGCTTAATATCTCATAAAGCACCCAACTTTGGGACCAAAACCCTAAAATGGTCTAACATGATGCACAAAACAAAAGAGTGAGAAAGCTTTGAGCTTTATACCTCCAAATGAATCTCCCAATACAGATATGCTCATATCTAAAGCCTGGAATCCCACTCCTTCTTCTTCAAGGATCCTTCTTCACTCCAAAGAAACACAAAGTCACTCAAATGCTCTCAAATGGACACACACAAGCTCAAGAACGAGGATTAGGGTTTGAGAGGGTTGTTTGTCTGAGAAAGGTGCCCAGGAATGAGGCCATCATATCGTTTATATAGGGACACGCCTCAAATTAGGGTTTTCACTCTGGGCCTAGTACGCCCAACGTACTAGGTGGCTTCCGCGTCAAAAACACGCATATGAGTACGCTGAGCGTACACTCACGTACGCCCCACGTACTCATTTACCACCTTTTCTCAATAAGGGCTAAACTTGACAATTTACCAAAAGAACAAGGGCTTATAAGGTCTACCTGGACTTAGGATGTTACATCTAGGGCATAGAGGATGGCCAAAGCTTGATAAAGCTTGAATCTTTAGGCCCAAGGAGGGCTAAGGGTGTCCAGATCTAAAGTCATAACTTCAAATCATGCTCAACTCCGAAAATGGTTCCAAAATGGGCTAAAAATGCACTAAACTTCCATAGGAGAAGATCTAAGAAACAAGAGGTCAAGGTAAAGACTTTTTACCTCCAAATGGTTGCTACCACAGTGTAAATGTCGGATCTACAGCCTCTCCCTTCAGCTATGCACTTATCACTTCAAGCTTCTTCAAGAAATGCACCAAATAACACTCTTTAAGCTCAAAAACACTCAAAATGGGGAAAGAGGCGCGATTAGGGTTTTCTATGGACTGAGGGGACGATGAGGGAGGCCACAAATGAGTCATAATGTCCTTAAATAGGGTGCAAAACCCTGAAAATTAGGGTTTCATAAACAACAGTCAACTCGTCGAGTTGGGGCCTTCCAACTTGTCGAGTAGACCCTGAAAAATGCACGGCCATTAAACTCTACACGACGAGTTGGAGCCTTCCAACTCGTCGAGTTGCCCTAAAAACACATATATAAGCTTTTAAATTCATACCTGGAGATTGGGATGTTACAACAGGGTATCTTGGCCTACAGCACAAAGCAGGACCGCCTCAACCCACCACCACCATATGTCGACATATAATAAACAAGGATCAATCAGGCATATAAAATAGTCAAACAACAATCATACAACTCACTCCCGCCTACTAGCCCTCTCCCAATACACAGTCTCATTACCAGCTAACCTCCATGAAATGCGTAACCATAAGTAGCCAGAGGTGAAATAGCCACCCGAACAGATGATCCTACTCTAGAACCACAACCAAACAAGGAACATGCAAGAGAGCTTAGACCAAGAGTTCTTAGACTATCCTACATAACCACAGACAGTCCTTAGGGAACTCCACCAAATGATAACCAGTAAGTACGGATAACATACAGATTCATCAGAGCACTACATCATAGCAACATCATACATACCAGGATACCGATCTACAAGTCACTACAACATAACAACATACTCAATAACATAATACAGATCTAGCAGATCTTTACAGCATAGCAGCATACTCGACACCATAATATAGATCTAACAGATCACCACAGCCTACCAGCATACTCGATATCAGAATACAGATCTAGCAGATCACTACAACATAGTAGCATACTCGACACCGGAATACAAATCTAATAGATCACCACAACCTACCAGCATACTCGATACTAGAATACAAATCTAACCGATCACTACAACACAGTGTCATACTAAGTAGCAATAATATAAGTAATGCCTGACTGCATATAATCAGAGGTGAGATAGCCACCTGGATAGATGATCTTACCCTAGAATCACAACCAAACAAGGAACAGGTAAGAGGGCCTAGATCAAGAGTCCTCAGTCTATCCTACGTGACTATATACAGTCCCCAAGACACCCATCTACTAACAGATAACTGAAAGCTAGTGGGTCGGCATTGGTGCCTTCGACCCATAGTACAATGAGGCAAAACTCACCTGAAATGAAGAAACCCGAGAATACCGCGATCCGCTCCTTGCTACACTGTTTGCTCTCGCGGATCCACTAACATCAAAACCATATAAAATCTTAATCACCAATCCAAACCCTCAAGTTTGACCTAAAGTCAAACTTGGTCAAAAGTCAACGAGTCAACGAGTCAACAAAAGTCAATGTCCAAGGTCAAATTGGTCAAAAATCCATAAGTCAACTGAGTCAACCCAACCGGACCAAGCTAGCCGAGTCAACTCAACCGAGTTGACACAACGCACGTACGTAGGGCGTACTCCAGATGTACGTTGGGTGTATTCCATCGTTGACCGCCATCGGGGGCCTTGACCACGTACGCCTTGCGTACTCATATTACGGCAGGGCGTATGCCCAGATCTCCCAAACTTCATTAAGTGCTTAATGCCATAAGTCCTTACGTCCAACTTTTAGATCCAAGGCTAAAATACCTTCTAGAGTCATAAAGTTTCCAACTTTATGACTTTACATGTCCATTAAGAGCTTAACTCAACATCTTAATCCATTAAGACCGTTTAAATGATGCATGGAGCAAAACCAACCACTTAGATCCCATTTTTATGACTTAAGACCCCTCCTAAGGTCTGAAAGGACAGCTTAATGGGTCAAGAACATGCTATGTTCATGGATCATCACATTTGGGACAAAAAGGAACCAAAAACCAACCCAACACAAGATCTAAATGAAACTTCACCAAGTTTAGAACCTTATACCTCCAAATGATGCCAAAAGGTGGTGAGATTATGGATCTAAAGAGCTTCATTCCTCCAAGATGATCTCCACTCCTTTCCTTCTTCTTCAAAGGCACGAAACACCCATACTCAAGCTTAGAAATGCTTCACAAGATGGATTAGGGTTGCAAGAACGTCCCAAGAGGATGTAGGCTGATGATGTGAGGGGAAATGAGGCTATACTGGGGTTAAATATTAGCCAAACCCTAAAAATTAGGGTTTGCATGACTGGGCGCGCCCAAGTACGCTCAACGTACACATGTACGCATGGTGTACTCCTCCAAACCTAAAATTATGAAAAATGCCACTAGGACCCCTATTGCACTATTTCTTATACTTAGGGTCTAAACTGCAATAAAAATACATCATAGGGCCAAAATTAAAAGTGCCTCATCATCGGGATGTTACAAATCCAGTCATAAGCTATAGGCTCGGGAACAATCCAGTCTTATGCTATACGAGGGGGTAATCAAATCATAAGTTGTGGGCTCAGGAGAGGGCAATCCAATCTTATGTTGTGGGCTCGATGTACATGCATTGTATATGTATTGTTGTGTGAGGTGTTTTGGGGGAACTCACTAAGTTTTAGCTTACAGTTGTGAGTTTAAATATTTTTCAGGTACTTATCGAATTGCAAAGGTGGGACTGCACACACGCAGATCAACGGTTTTATGATTCGAGATTCCACATTGTTTTCCTTATAACTCTGATTTCGAATTATGGTTTTTGAACAAATGGTTTGACTTAAAATTGGTGTTTATTCTATTTTGAAAAAGAAAATTTTTATTCTAGAATTTGGGACGTTACATTCATACTTAAACACTCGTACATAAAGGTACAATAAGCAATTAGAGTTATCTATAGAATTAGCCAAAGGGCATGTTCGACACGAAACATTTGTGAGCGTTTAGAAGCTTCTAGTTTCTAGCGTTTGACAATGTTTCGTTTTGAACAAAAAACCTCGTTTGACACAACAAACTTTTAGTGTGCGTTTGGTTGTGGAAAAATTTTCAGTTTCCATGAAAATTTTCAAATGAAAATGAAAATTTTGAAAACGTGTTTGGTTGATTCATTTTTCAAAAAAATTCCAAGAAAATGAAAATTTTGTGTTTTCCAGATTGTATGTGAATTAGAAAAGTGGTTTTTATAGTTTTCCATAGTTTTCTAAAATTTTAAAATGATAAATGAAAACTCCACTTCTAAAAATTTCATTGAAAACTGAAAATGAAAACTAATTCTATTTTCTGAAAACTTTTTCTAGGAAAATAAAAACAGTTTTCTACAACCAAATACACCCTTAAGCCTTGTTCGTGAGGTTTTTTTTTTTTTTTTTTTTTTGTATATTGACAGAAAGAAAGGGATGAGAAGGAAAAATTTTCTTATTCCGTATTCCCGAGTTCGAAGGACATGAAAGAAAAATTTTAACTTTTTGTGTTCCCAAGTTAGAGAGGAAAAGAAAACAAAATTATATGACTCTAAAATATTTTCCTTCGCCTCATTTTCTTTCGGAATTCGCCCAATTTGAAAGAAAAATATGACTCCAAAATCCTTTCATTTCTTTCACTTTCCTTCCATCAATTCAACTTGAGAACACGATTCCCTCAACTTACATCCATATCCATCCATGTCTCTCTTAAGTAGAACTCGGAAACAAGACATTAGCTTTTAGTTTAAACAAAACTTTCAAATCCAAAACTACCCTACTTAGCGTTTAACAAAACCCTGCTAGGTACCCGCTACCACTGGTTTTTGCCGAAAACACATAAAATAAAATCACATAAACCCAACATACGGCGTGAACCAGATGATCCAAACCAGTAATTTTGTTTAATTTTAACAGACTCGCGGTCCTAATAAAAAAGTTGGTTCAAAATAGCGTTGTCGGGTGTGTTTGGCATTGATTATTAGCTTATAACTTATAACTTATTAGTTTATAAGTTAATAAGAAAACGTAGAGTAAATTATCAAAAAATGCCTTATTATAGGTCCGTCCCAGGATGAGTTACTTTTATCAAAACACCTTTTTTTAGCACTTTTTTTACTTTTTTTTAGGTGGAACCATGCTTTAAAAAGCTTAGCCAAACACCTTAGTGAAAAGTACAAAACCCCAATATTATCCATTCCTCTTTCTCCGTCCTACTCCCAAACTCGGATTACCGACAATCTCCGCAAGAATGGGGGAAGGAAAACAAGGCGTGCTAGTGGTGGTGGGTCACCAGAATCCGGTCACACAATTACAAGCCAAGTACAAGGAGTTGGAGACTGGATTTAAGGATTGGCTTGCCAAACAGTCCTTACCCGTTGAGGCCGTCGTCGTCACCGCCACCAGCTCCCTCCAGGGTGCCGCCATCGGTGGCCTTATGGCCACTTTCACCAACGACCTCTCCTCCTCTTTAGCCGCTCCTCCACCTCCAGGCGCCTCCTTCAATCCACGAGCTATGGCATCCCTCCAGCAAGCCCAGGTTCCTATCCTATCTTCATTTTGTTTTATTGTCTCTGGATCGATGATAATTTTGAACGCATAATTCCTAGTTATGTTTGACTTCCCTTATATATAATACTCTTTTCTTCTTGCAAATATTCCTTTATATCAGTCTTGATTATGTTTGTTGAAAGAATTAGATTGCTTTTGATAAGATAATAAGATATAGTGTGTATGCGGGTCGATTTTTTGCTTAAAACCCAAACCCAACCATAAAGTTCGATTTTGGATTTAAGTTTTTCGGTTTTTGGGATAAAAAATATAGGTTTTCAATGTTTTTTTTTTTATTTTTTTTTTCTAATTTAAAAAATAGATACTTTTTCCACTAAAAATTCGGATAAAAAACATAATATACTAAAAAAAACAAAACGGCATTTTTCAAACACCAAAAAAACTATCAATACGGTTTTTTTTAGAGATAAGTGGATGTCTAGATGAACATTTTGGGTTGAATGTATCTAAAAAAAGAAACAATATTCCTACATTAGTATAAACTAGGGAAGAATCCCCGTTTGCGGGGTTAGATCGATACACCAAAGAAAATCCCAAATTGGGCCCATTCTGATCAGTGTCTTTAGTTCTTCAACTTGATGGACTGTGCTTAGTCGCTATAAATTCAAAGGGTAAAATAGTTTAATCGCTATCAATTCAAAGGGTAAAATAGTCATTTAATTGCATTCAAATGAATCGAGTTATTGAGTTTGTCAACAAAATTTGCAGTTTGACTTTTGTAGTCAAACACTTTAACTTAAAAAGTCAAAATGCAATTTCTTTCTTCAAACTTTAGAAAAGAGAAAAAGGTAGGAGCAACATGTGAGATATGCTTATCAATGGGCTAACAAAGGAGATCCATACATAAGGCTTTGTGTTAATCCATATTATACCCCTAACATTGTTCATAAAGACTTGATAATCAAAGGATAGGACTGTCATTACAAAAACATGAAGTTGTATGATACCCATCGATCTAATTAAATTAAATTAAAAATGAATATTAAAATATAAACTATGGAATATATATGCTTTTCTTGCTCTTGATGGCAGAGAGGAACAACTAAAGAAAAAAAAAATCTTGTAAGACTTGAATAAGAAAAAATTTGTATTTAAGATATGTAATATACATCCATCAATTTAAGCAAATCTGCACAAATTAGAGAAATAAGTTTCAACAACTTAACCAATTCTGCACAAATTAGAGAAATAAGCATACACTCAAAGTAACATCTGCAAATACAAAATTACAAAATATCAAAATTCATCTTATGCAGTTTTAAATATTCATACAAAGTTTTAGAAAAATACTAAACTCTAACCTGTGCAGAATCCTTCCTGGAGTTATCACCAACAATTGCTATGTAAAACCAATTTGAACAAACTTCCATGCTTTCAGGACTATGTGCTCCATCCAAATAAAACACCACGCCACCTTCACATTGCTAGAGCATCCCTACGCTCATATGGCATACAAAAAGCATCAGTGATTGAATAATAAATATGTAATAATGACTTTTTTCTTAAATCAAAGTAAGTATGTTTGTATCTGAATGTTGGTCAAGATCTTATTGCTGACTTGTCCTTCAACAGCCTCTCATATGTATCTTTTCGACTGTAAAAATAATATCAAACATGTGGATTATAATATCTAGCAGCATATATCAACATTCTCTGCTGATAACAAATACCAAAATGCCCCTACTATCTATGTAACAAAACTGAATCAACAAAGTACAACAACAATGAAAATATGGATCTACTTAATGAGATAAGCACTTCATGTTTATAATCATATGTTATACCTCAACCATAAGTAATTGTATTCTAGTAAAAACTAAGTTGAAAATTTCAAACATACTGTTAATACTATCTATGAAAATAAACTTTAATGTTCCTTTAAAGAAGGATTTACCTGTTGGTGATTCTGGTTGCTGGTGATTCCATGTTTTTTTGTTTGGATGATATTACCCTTCTCCTGTTTTCTGGCTTAGTGCTGCTGAAAACCTAAAGGCCAATTCAGACATAAAAATCTGTTTGTTGACCATTCTTATGGTCAATCACAACGGAATGGTGTCGTTTCTAGTCCGATGCCACCTGTTGGTCCTGAAAGACATAAAACAGGGAGTTTAAAAGGAGTTTGAGTATGGATGAATAGATCCAATTATAAATGTCAGAATCAACTAAACTAAGAGTCTACTTAATCAAGTAGGGTAGACAAACCAAAATGGAGTTTCCAACAAATACCAGTATAAGTAACATGAGAGAAAGCCAAAGAAGAAGACAACAAAACAAAAAGGGATAAACAGTTAGAGACACAACTATATTTTGAGCAGCTAATGAAAGGCGGTGAGCACCACTTCCTCCCACCTTCTTATCGTCATCTCCTACTAAAGTGAGCCTTCATAGGAAATTTTGATACCTTCGTTATTGATCTGAATCGATTAAAATATCTAAGTATACAATCAAATTAATGGAAAATAAAGAACTAACCAAGATCTGCCGGAAACCACCCATTAGGCAGTGGTGTATTGGGATACTGTTGGAGCTAGGACACCCTCTACCCTAGGAGTATGAATGATGGAATAGAACGGTCAACCCACATGATTAAAATGAAGAATAGTATAAATCGGTAAAATACTTCCCGGTATACGACCTTAGAATGTCATGACCAAGCTATCACCTGAAGAATCGATAGAGGAGGAAGCGGAGGTGGAGGTGTAGAAAAATGAGACGAAGATGTGATGAGTAGGGAATCCCCAATACTGGAAATGGAAATAATAATAGAACAGCTCCTCCATACCTGGTAGCTTGCGTCTGCCCCTGACTCCACTAATCGCAGCGATCGTCAACGCTGAAGCTGGTGAGCTCTCCTGGTTGGGATGACGATGGTGTCGTCTCTTCTCTTAAGCACAGACAGTGGAGAAAGAGAATAGAGCCTGAATGTTAGAGAGTCATTGAATAAAGCGAAACAGTGAGAATAAAACTTTATATAAGAAACAGGATTCGACCTCAGCTGAAAGAAATAAAAAAAAAACGCAAGAAGGTGACTAATTAGTGACCTTGTCGATGAGTTATGGCTGTGGTGGTTGACACTGGTGTTGCCGACGCCGTTGATTTTCCTCGGTGTCTAATACGAACGGTCGTAGGGTTGTGGTTGCCGGCATTCACAGCGATCGAAGAGAGAAGGCGGAAGAAGAAGCAATCGGTGGAGACATCGATTAGAGGATGGAAGGATCGGGAACTAAAAGTGTTAACTGTAAGGCGACGGAGGAATAAGGCAAAGAAGAAGCGGTAGAGAAGAATACAGAGAGATTATAGAATGGGAAGCGGTGGGTAACATTGAGAAAAGTGTGTATGGGCGGTGGATTGTTTGAGGAGATAACACCTGGCCATCACGTGTAATCCACTATCCAGTATTATATTATCTGGGAAAAGGGAAAAAAATTAAAGGAAACCCACCATAAAGAAAAAGGAAAAAAAAATAAAATACCCACCAATCACAATCAACTCCTGTTCACCAAGGAGTTTAGAATTAGTATATATATAAATGAACATTTTGGTTAGGACTTTGGATGTCTAAATGAACATTTTTGTTAACTCAGGTTGATCATGATTTCCAACTGGCCAAAGAATGAAAATCATAAACCAATAGATGCTACAATACTAATTGAACCCTTTTGTTCCGCATATATGGTCCTCCTTTATCTTATCAAGTCATATTATCCACGTCCACTTCCACTTCCACTTCAAACCTTTAAAAAACTTTTTAGTTCGAAAAAATCTTGAAAAGTCCACATTAAATTGAACTAGAATTGCAGTACAAAGACATGTGATAAAAATGCAGAACTTAAACAAACTTCAATTTTGACAAGTACTAGGCATGTGAAAAACTAAATACATGCGAGTTATGTAATATGGTGTCGACTGAAATTGATATTTTATCTCTGTGTATTGATATTGCTACAATTCAATAAAGAACTGTTGAAAATGCCAACCTCAAGCATGCATTCAAGTGAAATTTATGGCTATAATGCAACATTCATTCTTTTACAGTTAAGAAAGAACAATTTTCAAATCCTACTACTTTAAACTTACATGAAAGCAAGCCAAATCACAAAAAAAAATGGATATATAAGGAAAAGCAAGTGTCTTACGTTGTTGTTTCGCCAAAAAAATTAATGAGTGTCAATAGGGCATTTTTACAAACAGGTTGTGTGCATATCAATGTTCCACAAAGCCGCAACAAGACTTGCATTGATCATGAAATTTATTGCAGAAAGTTTATGAAGTATGCATTCAATGAGTTAACTATGTATGAAAGACTGAAAGGAAAGAAAAGCACCATATAGAAAAAAAAATTATTAAATGTGTACCCAATTTATCAGTTGTCTCTCATATGTAACGAGTTGATGACATAAAAGGCCTAGAGTCATTTGGAAGCTGTAACTTGGACTACTTAGAAGAAGAACAAGAGTACAAGACCTAGCGAAGTATTAAGTTTCACGACACATTGCACGGAATTATGTTCTAAGTGACTCTGTAATTTCATTGAATTTTTTAAGTATAAGAGTATGTTGGTATTTAGTTTGAATTTGTTTAATTCTAGAATCTAGAGTTGCGTGCATTATTAAGTTGAAAGTATGATATTGGTGGTGTGAGAATGTGGCAGATTATTATTTACCAACAGTGTTTCTGAATACTGTTTGTTGGTATGTGGGGCAGGCTCTTTCAGGAGGACCTTTTATACAGGCACGGAATTTTGCTGTTATGACTGGTGTTAATGCAGGCATATCATGTGTGCTGAAACGAATAAGAGGCAAGGAGGATGTGCAGTCAAGGTATGTGCTGTGCATATATATATATATATATATATATATATATATATATATTGAGGGTAATTGATTGTGCAGTATGGTAGCGGCTTTTGGTTCTGGTGCTGTGTTCACATTGGTTAGCGGGATGGGAGGGGGAGGACCCAATCTGGCTGTCAACGTGGTCTCGTCTGGTGTTCTTTTTGCACTCATGCAGGGTGGTCTTTTCAAGGTCATCATACTTTTTCTCTTTCTTTTTTTTGAGCTGTTGTCTTCTTATGTGTGTATAGTGTAGTGTAGGTGTTTAACTCTTAATTTGTGCATGCAGCTAGGGGAGAAATTCTCAAAGCCAGCAGTCGAAGAAGATGTGATGTACAGTAAAACTAGAGGCATGCTGTCGCGTCTTGGGCTTAACAGTTACGAGAAAAACTTCAAAACCGGCTTCTTGACCGACACCACTTTGCCATTGCTTACCGACAGGCAAGTAGAGTCCCTCCTATTAAGTATTAAGTATTAAGTATTAAGTATTAAGTATTAACTATTAACCAACAACCATCAATGTTTTTGCCTTTTTGGCATTTACTTCCTTTATTTTTTTTGTAATTTGCTCATGAAATCATTCTTTCTTTCTTTCATCCCAGTGCTCTGCGAGACGTGAAAATCCCTCCTGGACCAAGACTTCTGATTCTCGATCATATCCAAAGGTCTGCTTTCACTTGTACTCATCTGCAATTCAAAGTTGTATTGCTGTTCATTACAAAGTTTTCGTGGAAATTTTAACAACTCATTTTTCTTTTCGTAGGGAGGCTGAGCTGAATAATAATAAAGGGAAAGGAGGTAGGAGGACATAGTTGTTCCCTCCCCCACAAAAAAAAGCATTCTCTGTTGTAATGTGAGAGACAATGACAGTTGAATGTCAACCCGTCTTGTATTTTCTTTTTTGGGATCTGTTTTGAGTTTAGAAATTCATAGACTTTTGTTTAGTTATGGGCTTCGTTTTTTACATCTGATTGTTGATAGGTGCAAAAATGTTTCTTAAAGCATACAGACACAAACACATACTTATATACATACATTGTTGGAACTTTGTTTACTAATTTAGGGGCTGTTGATAGTTACTGACCGAGTAAGATCTAACTGAGTCAGAGCCTAACCGAGTCACAAGTTCTGACTGTAATGGCTTCTGACTGAAACAATATTGTTTGATTACATATCTGACTGACCGTTTTAAATGTTAAAATTACCATTTTGCCCTTCTGTTTTGTTTTGTGCTTTATAAAATCAATAAGTTTGAGTACAATAAAGGTTATACATGCACAATCTATTTCAACTTTCAATGAAAAGAAAACGTAATATTTATAATATTATTACATGCACCATCTATTTCAACTTTGATAAAATTAAATGGACATTGATTCTTTGTTTTCCCTGTGTATAAACATACTCTATTTCATATCACATTTTTTAATCTGATACGTTGGTACCTAAACTAGATGATGACAATAACTATTGATCACGTAATCGAAAAGGACCTTTACCACATTGGATTCCTATTTTACTTTAAACTCTTCCAAGTTTCGGTGGTCAAAAAACAACTACTACCCTTCACTAGATCACTCCATTTCTAATCTTCTTCAACCAGATTTGAGTTTTCTAGCATGTTTTGAGAAACAATTTGGCATCATATGTAACACAAAATCCACCCAGCAGTGATATACCCCCATACAGTGCCCTTGTTGAAGGGCCTTTAAAGTAGTTTTGGGAGATCTCTGGTATGATATAGCCCAAGGAAGAATATGAAAACGAGGCGGAGAAAACTCAAATTTGAAATACTCCAATCTGATGCAAACATCCAATCTTCACCAAAAGCATCATCCGATTTTCACCAATTTCATAAAATTGATTTCAATGTCAATTATAGAAAATCGATTTCCGATCTTACCGATGGGTAGGCGGAGGTCGGCGAACTTGGAACTTGGTCGGCGGCTCTGCTGAGGCGACGACGATGAACTTGGCCGGTAGGAGGAATTGCTTGAAGTCGTTGTGTGGAACAGTGGAAGGAAGGAGGAGCCGTTTGAGAGGAGAACCAGATGCATGTTCTTTTATTTAGGGCAGAAAAGTCATTAAAACATCACATAATGGGCCAGCTTCTTTTTTTTATCAGACCGAGTCAGGAGGTGGGTAAGCAATTTATGACCGGGTCAGACAAAATTACCATCTATCAAACATGCTGATTGGACCGAGTCAGCCAGGACCCAGTCAGCACAGTATCAAACAACCCCTTACTTTGTGGGACTTGTCCCACATTGGAAGCAAGAAAGAAAAACCTCCTCCTTATAAGTCTAAGCCTCTTTAGTTTATCAATATGGATAAAGCATTGGGCTAAGATGGATGGGCTTGGTTTGTGGTGTTGGACTAGCCTAATTGGACTCAAAATAGGCTAATATCAAGAGAATATTTAATGGTCAAAAGATGGGCCTTGGGGCTCTTGGGGTCTTCCTGATTAATTAATTATGAAATTAATTTTTAATTTTTATTAAATTCGTAATTACTGAATGACAAGTATTATGGCAGTTATTTTCGGTTATGACAGTTTCTAACTGTCATAATTCTAGTAGGGTTTTCCCAAGGGTTGGCCGAATTCTAGTGTCTTAGGGTGCTATTTATACTCGAGGCTAGCTAGGGTTTCAAGGTGGAAACCCTAATCCCTTAGCTTAGGGCCTAAGCAAGTCCATGAACTCCTTTCCTTAAGCCCTTGGACGAAAACTCCTAGATCCTTCTAGGATTTTCGTTCAGTCCTTAATAAAGGTGATCCAATAGCCCAAAGTCTCACATATCAAATAATTACAAAACAGCCCCTGTACTTTTAATTAATTCCTTTAATCCCGAAATTAATTCCTAATTAATTTCTGATTAAATACTAATTAATAATATGATTCAAAATTAATATATTATTCATATAATATATTAACAAATCATATTTATACCCCAATTTATTATTCTTAACAATAAACCAGCCTCTCTCCTCATCAGTCATCCTGTCTAGTCACCAGTGTGAAGGCAACCCAAAAGGACCATGCTCACAATCGGGTCAAGTACATACCAAAATAGTTATGGACTTAGACACTAATCCAACAGTCTCCCACTTGGATAAGTCTAATAACTATTATGCGTATGACTTTAGAACCTGATCAGCAATCGTAGCTTTCAAAAGCCGCTGTCAACTCTGATCTTATCAGAAGCGTGTCCTTTAGATAAGGGATCATATATTCCTCCATTCTTGATATCGTATAGACGTTAGACATGGATTGAAATCATTCTCTCAGTCTATGTGTTGTTTCTCGATTTCCGATTTACGACGACTGATAACAGACTACAATTGAACACATCAACTTAGTCCCGGGTTGGCCAAGCGCTTAGGTGTCATCACTAAATCATCGAGGGGCCCACAAATATCGCTTTTATCCCACTTTGAGTAAAAGGAACGGATAAACTTCGACTCGAATGCTCGCTTGTACCTACTCATCAAATCACACACAACAATATGTTTTATAACACCAAGTTACTGGTGCGTTTACATATTATCAATGTGCAACCGACTTGCAGAATACAACTCACACATCTCGGTTTTAAGAATATAAGATATTATCGTCTCACCAATCACTCGTGATAAAATCCATGAAGCGATCCAAGTGAGCGTGGGTTTAGTCCAATGCTCAAATCATATTCATAAGCACTCATGAACGTTGTAGCAAACCTTTGCTATGTCTAATACACTTTAGACAATCTACAAACCAATTCATGGCAATCTTCTTTCATACCTACTCCCAAAGTATGAGCGACTGTGGAACGTATGAATAATCTTATTATTCGGGAAGTCAAAACATGCAAAGTGAAACACAAGAATAATACTAATCTTATATGGCCCCAAACCTTTGAGTATAAATAAAACATTTTATTTAATCACCATATTGATTACTAATTATTTGTTGTTTCGGGTAATCAACTTCTTACTTGAATTATAACAACAACTGTCACATGCTCTTAACATGCACACTATGTTTACCTATGGTCCTTACTTTGTGAAATAGTATAATTGAATAACATTTTCAAGCACACTCATTTCACAATTCCTAATCCATTAGTGTAAGAATACAAAATTCTCGCCACTACTAGAATATGTTAGATTCTAACATTTTATGCAACGGTCATTTCGTGATATCACAGCGCCAAAGTCACCAAGACTTTGTCAATGAAATTACAAAGTCCTCTATTGGAGATTGTTTACAAGACAATTCCATAGTCATGAAGTCTCACATTCAAAGTACATTCCTTTGAACATCCTTCTTGCATAGAAGTTTCTAATCTAGACATAGATCCTTAACGTCCAACTCCCAATAAGGAAAAATTTCCATATTTTCCATATGACAACTCATTCTAAATAGAATCTTATCTATTCATAATAATGCCAATATGGTCCATCTATGACTATACTTCCAGTTGTCCGCAAGCGACCAATCCTTGGAGAACCTTGGATTGTCCTTGACAGTTGTTTAATTATTTTAGTCAAATCCGGTTCTATTCCCTTTTTCCCTCTAAATTCCCTAGGCATTTGGAAAATTTTAGAACAGTCGAATATTACAGTATATGCAATTGATCCTATACCCGAAGCGTGTAGGATACAATTCATAATGAAAAACGTGATACTTTACCAGTTTCTTGCTATAATATTGCCATAATATTTCTAGTTGCCGTGTTCTCAAAATTCGAACTATGAAGAGGGATGCCGTAATCATAATTGAACTTTGAGAATGCAATTAATAAATATATCCTTGACTAAATTCAATTAAAATTTCTCGATCTAAGATCTTAGATTGGAAACGAAGTATAACATTCTCTCCCTTAATTATAGCAAAAACAACTTTTCAACCCTTGCAACTTTGCAAAGTGAAACTTTTGTTTTTCTATAATTAATATTGCCAACTTGCAATACTTAAAATAATAATCATGCTCCCACTAACATGATGATTATATCCATTCCAGCATAACATTTATACTCTCACTAACTTTGACACGTATTCAGAAAATAGTTAGACTTCTAAAAGACAATACTTATTGACTTCCAAAGTTCATATTTCCAATACGATGTGCTTTGATAAGCCTTTATCTAAGCTTCTCAAACTCACACACCTTTCCTTAAACAACTCACATGTGTGTCTAAACTAATTCAGAACTTATATTACTAAGTCCCAAATGTTCAGACTAATCACCAAATCTCACAATTCGAACTATGAAGAGGGATGACGTAATCATAATCGAATTTGAGAATGCAATTTACATAATCGCTATCTTCTTAAAATATCTCTTAGTGAAAGCGTTTCCTCACAATCATTTTCATGAAGGAGAGAAATCTTACGACACTTAGATCTTATGGTGCATGTGTCCCTATCCATGCGAATTTGTCATAACCATAAACATAAGATAATGTTCATGACAAATCCAAACTCTTATGGACAGAACTTGTTCATTCTTAATTTCTTGCCATCAAGGGTCCCACCAATGCTTCCAAGTTATTTAGCAGCTCACCTATGCCAGTCAATGTACTTTCATTGAACAAGGTGTTTGCCTTTATGAAGTCAATTGATAACTCGTAGAACTCATATGCATAATCAACTCAACTGGATTGGCATAGAAATAAGAACACGTCAACACGATAGGTTACAATCCTCAAGTCGTGTGCTAGTGTTTAATAGGTTTACTTCTTGAAACTTTTCAAGATCTTTAGACTCCCACTGACCTCTTGACATATTAGATTCTCTTATCAAGAAACATTTCTTGACAAAAAAAACAAATATCCAAGAGTTAGTGTGTGTCTATATCAAGACAAAACCTACATGCAATTCGGTACTAGTTGGTCTTTGTCTTATTCAAGACATCACAACTTACCAAAATGTGCAAGTGTAAGAACATTCGTACTTAAGATTATGTCACTCAAGTCACAATCTTGGAGTATGACTCTAAGACTTGATTTTGGAACGAAGTACGATACATCTTATTGACTTAACC